TGTTTAGTTCAGCGTAAAGTTTCGATTTTGATTAAAATTGGAGATGATGTGACTGAAAAGTTGTGTGTATATGATAGGTTGATGTGTTGGACTGAAGTTTGGATCCAAAGTACTTTGGATCTAAACACAGCCCGGATAATTCTAAAGTTTAGAAGTTTAGTTCCAAAATAATTCTTCAAACTTCCAACTTTTCCATCACATCAAAACTTTTCTACACATACAAACTTCTAACTTTTTTATCACATCGTTCCAATTTCAACCAAACTTCCAATTTTAGTGTGAACTAAACACAGCCTTCCTTCATCCCACATTAAGTTCATTTTTAATTTTTTTTCCATTTGTTCCAAAATAAGATAGTATTTTTTAAAAGTAATTGATACATCAGAGTTTGTGAAAATAGAGAATAATAATTATATTAGAAATAGATAAAGTGATAAATAGTTGTATTGAGATATGATAAAATAAGAGTATTCTAGTTTTAGTTTTTGTATTAGTATATATGTGTGATGGGTGAAAAATAGACTTATTTTGAGATGGGGGTAGTATGTCGTAAGATCTTCCGAGTACAATCGACCGGTCCAAGGAGGAGAACACACATTATTAATGACCATGCTAGTACGGCGTATACAACTGTACATACTCCTACATGCAACGTAAGTGCATAGCGATCGAGTTAGTACGTGTACGTACGCGATAATACAGCAGATAGATAGATAGATAGATAGGGTTGACAATGGGATCGATGATGAACCAAACGCAATGCAAGATTCGACACGGTAACGGGTATAGATCAGCTGCGCTGCACGTATAAAAAAATCCCGGGTGCTATAGCTCTCTCGTCTTTGGAATATGTGCCGTGCGTTTTGACCAGCCAGCCATCCACGGCCGGCCAATTCATCAATCTGTGTTTCACGTCACGGCCTGATTGATTTGATCCATCTATCCATCATCATCATCATCCACACGCTATTCTCTGTAGAGATATCACGCGCATGATGCTACTGTATTACTAGTGCAAGTATTACTAACCTCCGTCCCAAAATAAATGTAGCTGTGAAAATTCGTGTCCAATGTTTAACCGTCTGTCTTATTTAAAAAATTTATAAGAAAATTAAAATAAGTTAGTCACAAATAAAGTACTATTTATATTTTATCATCTGATAATAATAAAAATATTAATCGTAAAAAATTTTTAAATAAGACGAACGGTCAAACGTGAGACATAAACGGTGTAAAACTACACTTATTTCGGGACGGAGGGGGTAGAAGTTTAGGTTAGCGTACTGTGAAGATATTTATTTTCTTTTTATATGCTGTGAAGATATTTATTAGTAAAGCTGTACCCTGTTTGTTTAGGTTATTGAGCGGATTATCGTCACGAATTATTTTAATTGTATGGATAAATCAGGTAAGAAATAAAATCAACAAATAGCGGTCTAAACAATTTGGTAGATAATTTTTTTATAAAACATACTTTTTAAAAAATTGGGAAGTAAGTAATCTGTTTCAATAATTCGATAAATAAGTTGAAAATGAAACGAGCATCCTGAGTACTTGCTATAGTAGTAATAATGCTATTAAACTAATTTTATACGTATTATGCATAAATATCTAAGTACTATTGAGTTACTGATTGATTGGCAGCAGCATCTTCATCCAAAGTGTTTTGCTGGGAAAAAAAAAGGGGCCCAAATTCGATCCACCTCTCGGTTGGCTAACTTAATTAATTTTTTTCCTGATTCTTTATGTTTATCTGCTACGTTTTCTTCTCAAAAATATTTCGCAGGGGTTAATTACGTGGTGCCATTAATCACTGCCAGGTGCCATGGACTCATTGCGCATGCATATATATACGGAGACACTTGGCGTCATAACCAAATAAAAACAGGCAAGAAAAAATAAATAAAAGCATAAATGTAGGGGGAAATGGGAAAGTCAATTCTTGGTTTGCATAGCTAGTGTCTCCTCCTCTAATATGAGAGTGTAGCTTAGCCTGCTAACACACTTATTACGGCTATGGCACTAGGCCATAAATTCTGATTCCACATATCTTTTCTTTAAAACAATTTCATCCTTATCACTATAGCAAATCAACCCAAATTTAAATGCTCCTTTGGAATAAAGAAATTTTGGAGGAACTTAGTTTAAATAATATTTGAAAGAGCCCCCCCCCCCTACCAACAAAATTTCTTCATTCCAAAGGTCGAACTATGTTATACTGAACATATTAAGTATTCAATTATATAATCACGTTACTCTTGTAGCTATAAGCTCCGCAAGAAATAAAGATATTAAGAGCTGGTCAAAGAGAAAAATTGGACAATATGTACGTGTCGTTAAATATAATTTAATTGTTGAAGCGAATGTATCATCTATGTTGTTACTTACTTTTCATTAGTTGTATAACAACATTGCACACCGCATTTTACACATTGTATTCAAAACCAAAGCGCGTATATGTACACTGCTAGCAGAAGCAGAGCAACACAACATCCTTGTGAAACATGGATGGGTTGACATGCATGCACGGGTTGGGTTGACTACAGCATCCTTGTGAACTGGAGAGACAGAGCAGCTGATCTCATCCATTTATCATTAATTAGCTTACTCAATTTGTGACATCACCCTCTTTAATGCAAGGCTTTGACCAAATCTGAACAATTACTATTAAGTGAAATTATAAATTTACCACCGTTTTCAATCATTATTATAAACTTACCACTAAAAAGCATAAAAATACCACTAGTGCTGTCATTCTAATGGCATTGTTGCAAAATATATAAAATTAGTGATAAATTTGTAAATGCCTTTATTGTTACTCTTCTGTTTTGGGGAGGTATTGGTGGTGTGTGGTGGTAAGATTCAATTGTGCATCACTCTATTTTTGAGAGTTTAAATCCCGATCCACAAATATCATGTACAACGCGAGGGCTTTTTAATAAAAGTTTAGTGGGGCAAAGGATATGCCGTTGGTCTCCAAATCTTTAGATTTGTGTTAGGAGAATGTATTCATGGGTCTGTGCGCATGGTGGTGTGTGTTTTCATTGTAATCAAATACTTTCTCTTCAGCTGAGGATGTGATTAGTAAAAAATAAATTGGGCAAATAAAAATATTACGATATTAATATGTATGCCGACTACATCTAGTGGAGATATTGCTCTATATCTAGTGACGATGCCAAATGCGTCACATCAATCTCTATATCTCTAGTTAGTAATAGTGCATTTATTATTTATACTCCATGCCTCGAAAATGAAATCCAAATCATCTAGGACTCTCGAAAAGGAAAAAATATCGAATCTAAAAACTATGTGTGTAAATAATAAATGGGCAGCATCTGCCACTATTACACATTTTAATTTCATATATGAAAGATTCTGTGGTGCAAATGTATACATGATCTTCATTAATTAACTATTTAATTATGCAAGATATAAGCTCTGTTGGCATCATCACAATGTAATTAAGCATGTTTTTTTTTATAAAACTAATGTAATCAAGCATGTGACTGGCATAAGTCTTGACATGCATAGGTTGACAAAGTGACAACAGGATCCTTGTGAAGTGTACTAGAACAGAAGCAGAGCAATTATCATGCACCCATTTCCCATTAATTAGCTTGCATCACTTGTGACATCAATCTCTTTAAGAGCAAGTATAACAGTGAGCTATAAACGTACTTATAAGCTTAGATAGAGGAGAGAGGTAGTGAAAAATTAAGGATGTTGGCTCTCATGCAAGAGTTAGCTTATCACAAGCTCCAAGACAAATGCATTAAATGTGTAAGTGAGAGACAGAGAGAGGAGAAGAAAATTGTAGCTAACCTTATTGCTAATCTATTATATATGTTGGCTTTAAGATAGGCTAATAGTAAGAAGTGGGCTCTATTATTATCCTTGCTCTAATGGAAGGATTTGGACCAAGTCGGAACAATTACTCTTCAGTTTAGGACATATTCCCTCCGTCTAGAAAAAATAACTTTTGAAAATATCAGATTCATCTATATAAATTGATTCTTTTTCATGGAGGGTGTAAGGAGTTGTAACAAATAAAAAGATTAAGATGCATTAATTAATATGTAAGCCGACTGTGGAGATTTTTGCTATGAATGGTGACGCTAGATGGCATTTGACATAAATCTCAAGTTCTCTGCATCTCTAGTTAGTCATAGTCCATTTATTATTTATACCCCACTCCTCGAAATTGAAATCCAAATTATCTAGATTACTCTCAGAAAAAGGAGGGGAAAAAAACCGTATCTGGAAAATTCGTGTGCAAACAATAAATGTGCAGCATCTGCCACCATTACAAATTTCAATTCCATATACATCAAAAGATTCGGCGCAAAAGCTCTTCGCGCATGATCTATTGATCTTCATCCATTACTCAATTTAATTATGCGAGATATAAGCATGTGACTGTCATACGCTTAGACAATGGCTTGCATAACACCAGTAGCAGTAGTAGTCCTAGTCTAGTAGTAGTACTACGACGTAACAACACTTCGGTGAGCGTACGGCGGCTGATCTGGGCCGTCGGTTGCGGATCCGACGGCCAGGAGCGTGCCCGGGTGTCCCGTTGTCAGTACGTGGGAGGCGGTTACCCCGCGTTGCGCGCGTAGACGTACAGGGCGAGCCCTACAGGCCCCGGGACGGTGGTGGGACGGATCGACACGGCGCGACGCACACGCACGCAAACCAAATCTTTTCGGACCAACTCCTCCCCCCCACGAATATTAATCATTTCTAAGCGTATTTATTGTCCTGCGAAGTTTTTGTTTTATTTTATTTTTGAAAAAAGAGAGAGAGAGAGAGAGAGCAAAAGGTGACCACCAAGAGAAAGACCGGAGTCACCAGCACTGACCACCAAGACCGTCACGGGAGCGAGAGGGGACGGCCATGGGTGGGTGGGCCCGGCTCCCGGCTCCGTGCAGGCAGGGCCGCAGCGCAGGGGGAGTCGAGTCTATTTAAGGCCCCCCTCCTCTCGCCCCCTCAGAGCATCCATCCTTCGTTCGCTCATCGCGTCTCGACTCCACTACTGTGGTTGCATATACTACTACACTTGCAGTTGCATCCAGAGCCCGCCCCGCGTCTCTACTCGCTCCGCCGCGCCGTCGTCTCTCCCGACTTCGGCGACAAGCGAGCGACGCAGGCCACCGCGCGCGGTTCGTTTTCGCGAGGGAGGCCGCCGCCGACCAGCCGCCATGGTCTCGCCGGACACCATCCGCACGGCCATCGGCGTCGTAGGTGCGCCCTCTCTCTCCCTGCACTTCCTTTTCTCTTCTTCGATCTCGGCCATGGCCACCCCTTCTCTCTCTCCCTCTATCTCTCCCTCTCTCTTTTTGTGTTTTTTTTTCTTCCTGTTACCTCTTTTCGGTTGCGCGTGTGTGTGCCTCCTCACCAACCTCCCTGCTGTCTCGTATCAAATGCGGCACAGATTGTCGCACGGATTTTAATTCTTGTTGTTGTGATGGGGGGAGAGGATTTAATTTCGAGTCGTTTTCATCTGTTGTTCCTCTCCTTTTTTTTTCTTGGTTTGCTCCTCACGCGAAATCATACTAACTTGCACTTTTTTTTTCTCTGTTGCTTTTTCTCCCATCTTGCAGGCAATGGAACCGCCCTCGTGCTCTTCCTCTCCCCAGTGTAAGTGTCACAAACGGATCATCCTCCCCTCTTCTTCCTCCCCCTCGAGATCAACAAGAACACACTCCATTGATGAAACCGGAGTAGTACTACTACTAGTACCAGTTACTAGCAGTATGTACATACGTGTCACAAAGAAAGAAACGGATGGCGACACGTACTGGAAGAATAAAATTAAATCAATCCACCTAAAATCTGACGAGAGAAAAAGAATCAAGCCAAGATAGATAGATAGATAGATAGATCCATTCCAAGAAAGATGAATGTGTACATGTATTTGTACGTGTATTTTGAAGATGAAATACGTATGCAGGCCGACGTTCATACGGATCTGGAAGAAGGGGTCGGTGGAGCAGTACTCGGCGGTGCCGTACGTGGCGACGCTGCTCAACTGCATGATGTGGGTGCTGTACGGCCTCCCCGCGGTGCACCCGCACAGCATGCTGGTCATCACCATCAACGGCACCGGCATGGCCATCGAGCTCACCTACATCGCCCTCTTCCTCGCCTTCTCCCTCGGCGCCGTCCGCCGCCGCGTCCTCCTCCTCCTCGCCGCCGAGGTCGCCTTCGTCGCCGCCGTCGCCGCCCTCGTCCTCAACCTCGCCCACACCCACGAGCGACGCTCCATGATCGTCGGTATCCTCTGCGTCCTCTTCGGCACCGGCATGTACGCCGCCCCCCTCTCCGTCATGGTACGTAGTATTACTCTTACTCCTCCACTTCTTCTAAGATTGACTGACTCATTAGTACTAGTATTTAATTTTAATTGGATGGATTAACTTGGTTAATTAATTTTATTATGGTACTAGGTGGTTTGTCGGTGTCAGTAGACAGTAGCAGAGCAGATGATCATCAACAATTGGTTGCTTGATTCTTTAACACTGGATGGAATGAAAATAATCATATGAAAAGAACGGGGGGATTAGTTTAGTCTTTGTTTGATTGTTTATTACTATTCGATTGACCAGGAGTCAAAACATGATCAACTTTGGTTGGATAAAAGAAACAAATAGTAGGCAGTCACACACATGCATGAGCATGGCCATTAATTCCTTTCTTTATCTGCTAGAGCAGCCCACGCTCTGTCGTGCCAAATCTTCTGCTGCTTTCTCTGCTCTTCCTTTCGCTTTTACTCCCAATGATTTGGCTTTTTTTCTCCCACACACAGAGAGTTAATTTTCTGGTCCCCTTTGAACGAAAAAGAAATAAATAAAGCTATAGGCCTATAGCAGCTAGTACTAGAAGTTGCTTCAGGTTTTCTGCATGCTCTGTATGTACCATGTTGAAAATTCTATGGATGGATGGGAGTTTGTTGATGTTGTTTTTACCATGTTAATTAATTAGATTGTGCTGTAAAAATAAATGGTGATTCATGTGGTTTGGTTTCAGAAAATGGTGATCCAGACTAAGAGCGTGGAGTACATGCCCCTTTTCTTGTCCCTGGCGTCACTGGTCAACGGCATCTGCTGGACTGCCTACGCCCTCATCCGCTTCGACCTCTACATCACGGTAAGCATATCCCAGCTTAATCAAATTTAATTACTACCTCACTTTTTACTCTACTTAATTACCACCTTAAGTTAAACGTAGTAATTAATATGCCTAAAGTAATACTACCACTAATAGTAGAGAGCCCATGCTGATTACCACTTAATTAATTGCTTCTAGAAGCTTAAGCTTAGCACTAGGAGTACAAAAGGCTTTGGCAATCGTCTCCACCCAATGATAGTATACTCCTATATAAGGAGTACTTTCTACTTAGCAAAGTAGAGTATCATTGGAGTTTACCAAGGCAGGCAGGAGAACCAATTCGGTCGAGGAGGGTGTGTGTGCAAGTATTTAGGAGGTTGCCACTACTGTCGCCACACGGCACATGGCCCCCCCTGCTCCCAAACTGCTCTCATGCCATGCCATGGCAACCAACCAAACCGCAAGCCTAAAAACTTGGGAGTCCTCTCTCTTGCTGCCTGCACATGTGCGAGTGTGATCCGGTGCCATATATGGCTAGTTGTCACTCACAAGCGACCGGGTCTCTATGCATGAGTTGAGTTGGTTGCGTTCGGATTGGGTTGCCATGGCTGCTTAGGTAGCTGGGTAGGGTAAGGTCGTAGTACCAGCATCATAGCTCGCTGCTGCTACTAGTAGTGTGGCGCCCCGTGACACGCCCAGCTCGTGGTGGTCGTGGGAAGTTAACAGGCAGGTGAGGTCCGTGCGGAGGCCTCCAATCCCGTGGAGTGCGTGCGCCCGCCCGGCTCGTGCATGCATCTGCACCATGCGTGGATGGGTGCGTGGGTCCCGGCTGGTCAGAATCTAGGGCCGGGTTGAACCGTGGCCGTGAGAATGGATTTCACGGACGCAGATGAGCCAAATGGATTGATCTTTCGGTCAATCAATCCGCGTTGCGGCAGCAGCAGAGGCGTTCCCGATGAGTTACACTACTACGCAACTTGGTGATCTGATCATCATGCAGAGGCGCAAGCGGACAGATGCCACCACTGCAGCAGCAGCAGCTCGGCTTGTGTCACTGCCTGCCTATGGCTTACCTCTCCCTATCCTTTCCTATCCAATGCTGCAGCTGCGGGCAGGCTTCCCCTGACCGCTGCCACACGCTACTCCGCTACGCTCCGCGCCGCGCCGCACCCCGCACCCGCGTGATGCAAGCCCGGGCAGCGCAGCCTCACCTAATTGCTCCTGTAGTAGTAGCATCATGTGATTTTGATATGTCATTAACGATTGGTTCTTGCAGCTAAATGTCTACTAGTACTGGTAATTGTCTGTCTGAATGCCTGAATCTGAATCTGAATCCTGATGTTGTTATTGGATTTGCCTATAATATGTGCAGATCCCCAACGGGCTGGGAGTGATGTTCGCGGTGGCGCAGCTGATCCTGTACGCCATCTACTACAAGTCGACGCAGCAGATCATCGAGGCGCGCAAGCGCAAGGAGGCCGACCATGTCGCCATGACCGATGTCGTCGTCGACTCCGCCAAGAACAACCCCTCCTCCGGCGCCGCCGCCGCCGCCGCCAACGGCCGCTACTAGCTCACGCCGCCCTCTTTACTTCACCAGCTAGCCAGTCACTCAGGAGGCATGGCCACCGATGAGGCCTTCATGACTTACTAGCAAAGTGGAGTACTACCTTTAGCTAAGCCGTCCCAAAGGGATATTACTACATGTCTCAAATTAATTAGCTAATCTAATCACCATCACCCTGCCTAATCCGCTGCTGTTAATTAGTATGGCAGAGAGCAAAAGAAGAACAAATTGAGCTGCACTTCTTATATGTACTCTCAAGTGCAGTGCTACTATTGTCAGTCCCATTGGGGGTAATTTACTGTCTTATTTACAGGAGGAGGGCCTGGCTGCTCTTGTTAAAAACAGCTAGCCCTGCCTTTTCTTTTTTCAATATCATCATCATGCCGTGCTTTTCGATCTACTCTACTGTAATTTTTCCTTGCTTTTTCTTGCCTTTCTGTACCTGCCGTAATGTACCTTGGAGGCCATCCAGATGGTGTTGGGGATTATGATACCTGGAAAATGAAGAAAAAAAAGATTTAAAAATATCGTTGCTGTTGTTGTCCTGCTCTGCATTCTAGTAATTTCTCCTCTTTTTTGCATGCCTGTATCTGTATGGTCTGTGATTCTTGGTACCAACTTGAAGCAACAAAAATAAGTATTACCACCACTACTTTTTTTCGAGTACAGACAGAAGATTGCATTATTTTGTACTATCAGGAATAAGATTCTTGAAAAAAAATACAAGAAGAATAACAGAAAAGCAACGAAAATAAATTACATGAGATTAACCGCGAGCATGGAGTCATTGATTCAGACATGGCCTAAGATCCTCCAAAATAATGCTGACGATTCGTTTTGTCATCATCTAAAGTACATGGTTAATGTCCTAGTCAACTTTGTAAAAAGTGCTCATGGCAACACTGTTTGATTAGGAGATAACAATCTCGGCAACATGAGCAAAATAACCAACTAGAGGAACAAGGAAGAACCCATCCTGATTGGCTTGATAGTTCAGTCACTGTCTGTCTGGTCCTGCAGTTTAAATTGGCTCTGTATTGCTTATCAATCTTGCACAATCCAGGTAAACTGATGGCGATGAGTAATCAAGTTGGGGGTTGCTTAATTAATCATCCCAGCTCAAAGAAACAGAACGCCGTGATGAACCAAACCTCACCCATTTGGAAAACCGGCACAAACGCCCTGCCGAAAGAGGGGGACATGGAGACTGTCGCCTTGGCATAGCATGTGGTAGACAAATGGTATTTCTTCAGAGAGATCAAAGGCAAGTTGAGATGATACATGGAAATGCCTGCCCTGACAAAATGCTTGATGCACACTGAGATGAAAGGGAATTGTATGGGTTGTGTGGCTATATTGGACCAGCCAGCCAGTCAAGAAATAATGCTTGGGAGGAACAGGGCTTGTTGGTTGGTTGGTTCCTTCGATGAATTGGTCACTTCGGTTTGGGTTTGTTGGAATGATCGGCTCTCAGATATCTTTGGTCAAGTCTTGGCGTTTGATTGATGGTAGCTATGTGGAAGGCTACCACTTTTTGTGAAAGTTGTTTGTCCATGATGACCTTGTGTTAGTTTTCTTTAGGTTTTATTTCAGTTCCCTACCATATTAAGCATGCATTCGATAAAGTTTGTATGCTAAAATTTAATGAAAATATTCATAATGTTAGAAAAATTGCACGCAAATGCAACATATCCACCGTGTCATTAGACTATTGCTGCGAGAGACTTTTGATCATCTCCTTTCAAGGTGAATTGCTCAATAATACTGTAAAAACAAATCATAATCTACAAGTTTCTATTTATACATGTTAGTAGTGTTAGTGAACAAGTTTCCTTTTCAAACATTTTTAAATCCCCTTTCCCTCCAAGAAAAAAGTTTTGACAATAAATTTCATATAAGGTGTGTTTAGTTCTTTGGGTGTAAAATTTTTAAAGTATACGGACACATATTTGAAGTATTAAACGTAGACTAATAACAAAACAAGTTACCGATTCCGCCTGTAAACTGCGAGACGAATTTATTAAGCATAATTAATCCGTCATTAGCAAATGTTTACTGTAGCATCACGTTGTCAAATCATGGCATAATTAGGCTCAAAAGATTCGTCTCGCAATTTATATACAAACTGTGCAATTGGTTTTTTCCCCACATTTAATGCCCCATGCATATGCCTAAATATTTGATGTGACGTTTTTGACCAAAATTTTTTGGATCTAAACAAGGCTATAGCCCTCTTGAAGTTGTTTTGGACACTAGTTTCACCTATCTTGATGCTTACACTAGAAGTTTTGACTAAGTGACATATTTACATTTCGTTAATCCATGGCTCTCAAGTTAAATTCTATCGGCATTATACTGGTCTTTGGGTATTGTTGTAAGAGAAGAAGGGGGATAAGAGAGAGAGAGAGAGAGAGAGAGAGAGAGAGAGTTTAAACTGAAGATTTTGATGTATATATATTCAATATGGACGCCATGTTGCTAAAATCACCTAATGTATATGCAAAACTAGACAAAACAATTTTGAAAAACCATTTTAGTGTTTATGTAAACAATTGTAAAGTTCAGATGATAGGAAGTGGCCGTTTAAAGTTTGGGGACGAAAATAAAAAGAGATTTCAACTCAAAGTTTAGTGGGGAGGGGGTATATGGACTTCTTTAGAGAGAGAGAGAGAGAGAAAAAAATGCAGATTTATAGGATGTAAATCCTTTCCAAGAAACAATAATGGAACCAGCCAGCTTTTTCCAAAATTCCAAATACCAAACATACATAAAGAAATATGAAAAGAAAATCAATCCCTCCAATCAAAAGATTCAGATTCGAGAGGCTGCTCCTGCCCTGCCTGCCTGATCTGCCGGACTGCTGCATCTGCATTACCGGTGCCAGAATCTAGACGTGGCGACCAACCACACGGGAAACCTCAAAAAGGCCAATGGAAAAGTTTGCTTAGCTTCGGTAGATCAAGCCTACCACTACAACCACACACACTGGATCTGCATGTCTTGAACACGTATTCCGATCAACCGGGAGATCGAGACGATTAGACGACGAGGACGACGATCGACAACAACACACCTACGACGTACTTTACTCATACAGTACACCAAGGTTTAACTTTTCGATTTCGAAGTAAAAATCGTTTCTCACCGGTTTACCCAAATCCGACCAAAAACAATAAAAACCGTCGACTTTCAATCAACATCGAAAAAAACCAACTAATACCGATCGATGTTTTCATAAATCGAGACGTAGCGGTTTTACGAATGGTTTTTGCAAAAATTTTATCGGTTTTGTGAACCCTGCACTAAACTGATCCGTGTTGTCATCTGCAGCTAGTGTTGCGTTGCGTTGCATGCCGCAGCGAATTTGTTCTCCAGCGTGCAGGTGTGTGTGTGGTACTAGCTGAGGTGACAACCGCGCACCTAGCCAACTTTGGGGCAGTAGGGGGCACAGAATGATTGTGATTCCAATTCCATCTCTCGATCACTGCCTTCTCTTTTTCTTTTGTCTCATGCATGTGTTCTTTCCTGCACAAAATGAGAGCACAAATTTTTTGGGTGTTAAAGGTGCAACGGTGGACAGGTTTTTTTCACACCGGGGGACCGAGTGCGCACGGGTGGGTGTGCCCCTGGCCTTGATTGTGCAGTACGGACAAATGTTGAATACTACAGCTTTAACACGGTTCAAATGTCTGGTGTACATCGAGCATTATGAACTAGTGATCTGATCGCTGCCATTTCGCAACTGGTATCAGGCACGTGGCAATGATAATTTTAATATCACTACCGGCTTATTTCTAAAATTCGAACATTTCAGAGTGAACTCCCTTATCAATGCTTTTCTTAAAAAAAATAACTAGTATTTTTTTTATTGTGGTAATGGTAGCTCAACATGCCATCGGTCCTTTTTCTTCTTCTATAAAATATTACAATCATCATTATTCGTGGCGTATTCATGAAACTGTTACTAGCATAGAACTAGTGATTACTGTTATTTCTTGACCGGCATCGAGCACGTGGCAGTGTGATATTTATATTTTTATAATAAACTACTAGCTAGGTGGCCCGTGCAATTGCGCGGCTAGCACCTATATAAAATTGGAGTGATCTTTGTACACATGATTTTATTTAAAAAATTTTAAATAGTATATAGTCATCTTATTGTCTTTGGATTTTTTTAAAAAATCAAACCTTATCATCATCAGTTTTCAATTTTATAATTTTTAAAAATCAAACCAGATGCCACTCCTTGCTTCTTTGCAGCTATTTTATTTACTTGCTCGGTCTATTCGTTCTTCTTGGGATATTTAAAAATAAGATTTTGTAGTTTTAGAGTTCATTTGTCTTGCTGGTATCGTTTTTATAATTTATAGAAGTCTCGTTAAACGTTTTCACTGTGCTCCTTTACGATCCACCCGTCCTCTCTTTGTTGTTATTCGAATTTAAGAAAAAAAAATCAAACATGGTCACTGCTGGTTTTTTTTTACTTTATATAGAAGTATTGTAAACCATCACGACTCAACTCCTTCACAGCCTGCCCGCCACCCCCTCCTCTTGATCAATATTAAGATTCTAAAAATCGAAGCTAATTATTCTTTGCTTTGTTTTATAGTTTTTTAGTCCCATCAATCGACGTCACATTACTCCTTTACAGCTCCATCGCTGCCTTCTTGTTGTAATTTGCCATCGTTGTGTTTTAGGTGAATTGTTTTTTTATTATTTTTTTTCCAAATTCTTGTTATTTTAAAATTGTATTCCTACTTAAACTCTCTTTTTTAAAATTTCAGAATTTATTTTATTTTTATTTAAAATTTTAATTAAACTCGTATTGTGTTTTATATGTACTGTTCTTCTAATTTTTTTTGTTCTAAATTTCAATTATTTGTAAATTATATTTCTAATTGTCTTATCTAATTGTGTGATTATCTCCAATCTTGTCGTTGATTGCTAGCCTCCGTGGATTCTAGCTTTCACACTTCCTCTTAGTTTTGCTCAGGTGTCCTGCTAGACAGACATCAATGCAAGGCAATTTGATCGATCCGCTCTTCCATCCTAGTGTGATCCCTGAACAATTATCAGAAAGGTTTTCCATATTGTTTGGACTTATTTATTTTCTTTATTTTTATCCAAGTTTTTAGATATTTAAAATTGTGTTTCTAGTTGAACTCTTTGTTTAATCTAGGCAGTTATTATAATATGTGTTTTTCTATTTTCCTTGTCTGTTTCCACTTTTTTTGTGCGTTTACAATCCCAATCCTAGTACCTTTTTCTTTTTATTTTTCCCTCATTTTCTTTCAATTAATGTGGGATTTTCTAGGCTACGAGAGTGAATGTGGAGGCTCCTATTTCTATTACTTTATTAAGTTAATAGATAGATTTCACCTAACCACGTGTATGATGGTCTAAGTTAGACAATACCATAAAGATTTAAGCACATGACACAACTTAAGGTATTATAGCCATAAAGTTTCATAAAACCACACACTATATATTGATCATTTGGACTTTGATCTACCATATATATATACTTTGAGCTCTACAATCACACCTCAAATTTACAAGTTCTTCATTCATCATATAAATGTTACATCCTCGCAAGTATATCCTTTTTAAATTTTGAAAAGAGAAGTATATCAAATTGGTTAACACGGAAACTTTAGGATCATAATACGTAGGGTTATGTGTTACGTAAAAAAATTCATGTGATTTTGTGAAACTTCATAATTAGTGGGGTTTTATGAAATTTATTTACATTTTTAATATCACTCTGGGTTATTTCCAAAATTTGAATATTTTTGGGCTAGACGCCTTTATCACCGCTTAAAAAAAATTAGGCCGCTTACCGTCAGGGCACGGTAACCTCGGTCCCGGCGGTTTAGGAAACGCAGGACACATCCAATATTAGATTTTTATATTTTAGAATGGAGGAAGTACAATTATGATCATCCATGGTAGATTAATGGAATGTTAAAACAGTCTCCCCTAGCTACCTCGATGAAAAGAAGCTAGTATTAGGGTATCTTATTTGCTTTTACTTTTTGAAAAGTAAATGCAACAAAATGTTCACGGTACATTATTTAGGGGATACTTGTTGATTGTGGGCAAGGATTTTGTGCATGATTTATACTTCTTTGCGATATTGGGAAGAAACAATGCTTTTTGCATTGTATTGGATATGGGAAAGTATCAGAATCGATTCAGGATGGAATGTTAGGAGCAGTCAGCTTGTGTTTGTTCGTTTCCAACTTTGAGGAGTCATGTCAATGTAGAACTGTACAAGGTAATTTCGTCTGATCACGCTAGCTATCGTGCAAGCACCACCACTACACTCTACACATATACGACGTGTAGCTAGCTGATGATGCCCTGAGAATTTCCAGGTTCTTGGAGATAATTTATAATTAGGTGTTGGTGCTGATCTTCCGTATTTCTTCATCGGAAAATTTTGAGCGATTCCTTGCCACCATTAATTTTCTTTACTGAAAGCTGAGAGTATATATATAATGCTAGCTTGTTAATTTATCCTACAATCCCAAACTTACACAAACGTCTAACAATAATAATAAATTAATACCAGGCATTACTCACCCCTAAACTTTTTAAAAAATTAGGATATGGTTTGTGATGTGGCACTGGTATAAGATAAGGTCGAAAACAATTTATAAATAAAAGTGACTTATACATAGGTTCTAAGTAGTCCAATATGCAACTAGAATTTTTTTCAGAATTGTTTTAGTACAGTTACTAATTTTTAAATTCAAATACATAAACCATGGCTGAAATTGCATTTGATTTTTTTTAAAAAAATAAAATTACTTCAAACAATTCTTTTTTTTAAAAAAACTTACACTAGCACATTGGTGCATTTGAAACTAAAATAGTGGACTTAATAGCATATTAAAGTATAATATTCATAGCACAAAAAATGGTCTCTGTCTAGATTTTAAAAGAGTAAAGTGTACAGGCAGTACTTAAACTTCTAGGGGTGTGTCATTTAAGTTCCTAAACTCTCAAAATGCATATCCAACTCTTAGAACTTGTCATAGTGTATCATTTAGGTCCCAAATCACCACAACCCCTTTAGGATCTTATGTGGCGTTGATGTGACATGCCACACGGACATGACGTGGCATCATTTTGACCCATTTAAAATTTTTCTTTTTTCCTTTTTTTCTTCTCTTTTTTCCCTTTCTTCTCCTTTCTCTGTGACCCGAGTAGAAAAAAGGAAAAAAAAAAGAAGAATGAGAAGAAAAAGAAAAAGAAAAGATGGAAAAAAAGGACACATCACGTCATGTCCATGTGGTATGCCATATCAGCGTTACGTAGAATCCTAGAGGGGATGTGTTGATTTGGGACATAGATGATACACTTTGATAAGTTTTAGGATCTGGATATGTATTTTGAGAGTTTAGAGACCTATATGACACAACCCTACAAGTTTAAGTACCGCCAATGCACTTTACTCATTTTAAAACTACCTTTTGCTGGCCAATTATTTTTTTTGCTCGACCAAATTTATGCAGCTATGAGAAAATGACGGTCTTTTAATAATTTATAAATATTTTTTTAATTCTGAAAAATCCAGGGTACTGAAGGACCTCTTGTTTTTTTTTCTCTTTTTGGAAAAGGGAAGGAGCTCTTTGCATTGGCTCTTTATTTGTGTGTTCTGCTGGTAGACGATGCAAATGCAAATATGCAAAAGATGGTCTGTAGAATACTAGAATGAACTAAAACGCATGCATATGCATTAACACTGTCCTGGCTGGTTGATTAATTACGATCATGTGCTTTCCTAATGATATGTGGTTCAGCACGTTTCTGTAATTTTTTAATTTACACACGTGCTAGCTCCACAGTTGCATAACATTTCATTGCGTCACGTGGTCTGGTCATGCGTGACAGCGTGACGCACACGTGTGCCGTCTGCTAGATTAATTAGCAGATGCTGCAAATGCATAGATTAACTTGGTTAATCACGATGTAGAACCCAAGTTGGTTCTTGATAGGTCTAGTAGGCCCATTTTGCAAACTTGGGCTAGCTCTTCACTGGGCCTGTTGAGACTCTTCCATTCTTGTGAATCACTCCAAGGCCCAAGCAGGTCCGGTAGTCAATGCCTTGCACATTATGTCAAGATGATCTTAAATATATCTTACAGAAAAGAAAATTTATTGATTGTAGTAGGAGTACGTGTTTGACAACAGCTGTATTTCTGCAGTCTCCAGCTTGCTGCTCAAGGTTGAAAACCTCAGAAATTTTGAATGACCAATCTGGAGTTGTGGACATACTATCCCCAAGAACTGAACTCACCTCAGTAGCAGGAAAGGAAGTACTATCATCTCTTCTGGAGAAAAAAAAAACTATACTCATCACTACTACCAGAAAACTGGGATTGTAAGCATGCAAGCAGCAACACGTTTTTTAGCACTTAAAAGTTCATTCTGAAAGGGATATAGGAGTAGAAAGTCGAAGGTTTACCATCAGGTCGCCATTTAGGATCTGAACAGATGTGAATCATGGTCCTTCATGCTAAACATTGCTAAAAGATAAGCACCTTTGGAGTAGACGAGCTAGGTTACACAAACACTGCTACACGTACTAATTTTTTCTTACTGAACTTTTACTAACAATCATTTCAGCCGTTTGATTTAGATAGATAGAAGTTATGAAAAATCTAGATGCACTCACAACATAACATATCGGTTTTAGGAAGAATATAGTACGAATCTTAGAATTATTCACCAAAAAGCGAGTTCAGACTGTCTTGATTGGATTGCGCGTGTAGCGTGCCTGTGATAAATATACAGCGCACAAACTAAATTAATGTACTGGATAGAAAACTCTGTATAAAAGAATGTAAAACGTGAAGGTTGATTTGAGCTGAGCAGCTTTGACTTAATTTGTGGAATTTGTGGGGTCATATTAGTCATGCAGCATTTCATTTCAGCCAATAACAAAATTCAGAATGAACTCCAGTCTGTCTGTCAGTAAGTGCAAGTATCCATACATCACCTTTAGTTCTTCAAAATTTTCAAAGTAAAATCTCAAAAATTGGACATGATTACGTCCTTGTTGACGGCTTTCCATGATTTAATTCCTTGTCCTCTTGGTCACTAAACTTACAGCGTAGCTGTAACCCTTTCTTATAGCACAAATACTTTTGAAAAGAACAAATTTCCTCAGCAAAATTACCGCAAGACGCCGACAAAAGGCACCGTGCAACAAACAATCTGATAAGGAAATCAAGAACCTTTTATGTTTGCCTCATCTATTTGGGCTCTGCACAATTCACATCCTCACAGAAGCAATACATTTGCCATACAAAAGGCTGAGCTGAACCGAGCAAGTGAGAGTAGGCTAGCAGATATTGTTACATAAACAGAATGCAAAACTAATTGGTAGTTTTCTTTGTCATCTAAAATTCCACATCATTTAGATTCTTCAACTCTCTAACGTACAAGTCACATTCTTCAACTGTCAGTGGGCACTATTGCTTCTTGTCTTGTGCCATCTTCTTGCGGATCTCCTGTGCCGCGTTGAAGATGCCGAGTGTTGGTTTGTTGCAGACAAAGCACTTCTTATTCTTCGAGTGATGCTGAAAACAATAACACAAAAAACATACACAAATCATCAGAATCTTCTTTGCCATAAGAGGCATGAAACATGAGCAACTGAACCGTATTTCAACATCTCAAATGACACAACGGAACTTGCACATAACACAATAATCAATCTGACACACTAAGAAATGATCAACATAATCAAATTCATGAATCCAATACTAAATAAACAGCAATGTGCACCAAAGAATTGAAAAAGTCAGGTTCTAGAAAAAAAAGTATTTTAACATGGTTGATTCAATTTTCACTGTCACGTTCTAATCCAAGTTAAGCAGTACAAAGATCTAAATTTTCAGCGTTATTCCACTCTGCATACAACTCACATCAAATAAAATAAACTAGAAGGATCCATTGGCATTTCAAGGCTTAAAAAAAGGAAGTACTTAATTAAAAAGGATATGGATGGCCATTTTTTATCTCTTAGTCCATGTCATTTATATAAGATCACAACATTCAGAAAGAAAAATGGTCCATAGCAGCTCATTAGTCATTCACTAGTTCAGTCGAAGAAGATACACAAAAAGTTGAGATACAGAAGGAAAAAGCTCATCTTGTCAGCAATGGCAAGAGAAAGCATCAAGGAGTCTAGCAGCTCTAAAGCTAAGAAGAAGCCCTCATTTCAACCTTAAGCCAGAGACAAGTAATTTTAATGCCTCTAAATCATGCTGCTCCTAGAACTTTGTTGTGCAAGTTCTACGAGCAGGAAGGACACATACAGAAGGGTTATGCAGGTTCCAAACAGAAGCTAGCTAAGAAGGGTAATGAAATAAATTCATATGTTGATGAATCTCTTTACTAAATTAACCCCTAATTCATGGTGAATTTGACTCAGGAGCCACTGTGGATATTACAAATTCTTTACATGGATTATGTTATGTGAGGGCCATAAAAGGGGAGTGACATCTTAGGGTCGCCAATGGAACAGAGATTGAAATTAAGGCAGTTTTTGCTTCACCACTTGCATTAGGAGACAATGTTTTATTTGTTCCCAGTCTTTCTCCGGATGGCCATAACTTGTTTATTTCAACAATGGGAATGAATAGAACATCACCAAGAAAAAAGACTAAAGTCGACTCCTAAATGCAAGTTGAAGGACTGTCTTGACTTGAGTCTCTGCTCTGTTAGCGACGCTAAGATTTTGCTACACTCCTCTTACAGTCATCACATAATGCCATCTGCATGAAGTATTCTTAACGTGCACGGTGCCACCTAAGTCAATGCACCATGTATGAGGAGTGAATTCTTTAAAGAAAGATTCATCAACATAAGAATATACATCACTGCCTTTCTTTACTAGCCACTAACAGAAACCTGCACATTCGTTCATTCTTTCTGTGTCATGACCTGTGCGTGTAGAACATGTATAAGATCCAAGAGCAATAGGAGACATTTCCCTTGCTAGCCTTTTATGGAAGAAGTTAAGCTTCTTTTCGGCTTTAAGAGCTGCTAGACATTCCCTGATGCTTTCTCTTGCCATTATTGATAAGATGATAAGCCAAGACCTGAAAATGGGTCCCTTCTGGAGCAATAACTGGCAATAGTGAAGAGTTGACTAGAGGTTGGAAAGATTGATGCAGCTGGACTTGTTCAAGGAAATAGCTAATTGTTTGCCTCATGGCTGTAGTTTGACCCTTGCTCACAGCAAGATGATGAGACAGGTACAAGGCCTAGCAGCAGTAAATCACAGAAGGAATAGAATCCAACAATGATATACATTACACATGTAAACCCCCTTCAACTATTCAGATTGTCTAGTTTTGACACTGAATTCACTTGAACAAATAGGTAAAATAACACCCAGACATGATTTCCATTCGGCATGGCAGCTGTTTTAACACACAAGTGCTGACTCAGTTCTCGAGTCATCTCCCTTGCCCCAAGCAAGTGGCACATGCCATCTCTAAACGGGAAATATGACCAGATATAACCTGAAGAAGCTATTCTTACAAAACTATTGTTTCAAAGAATGCATCTAGAATAACCTCATAATAAGAACCTAGGTACAAAACTAAACAAGCCTATAAATTGTACCACATAGCCAACAGAACTACAGCTAACCCAATATTCACATCCAAGACAAATTCTCCAACTCACAGTATATGAAAGGTTAGGTTACTTTGTGTAGTGGTACTCATCACAAATTGGCAGTCTATGTACAAAAAAGACCTACTGTACCAAGCCCCCAAAAAACTCATGTCTATACTAATCGATGCATCATGAGTTGTGGGTGGGTTACATAGAGCCATAAGAGTAAATAGTGGCATATCCTCCAATAGCAAGTTAAAATGTGGTCTCTAGTACTTAACCACTGGTTTTATGAGGCATCAGTTGTCACAAACTGTAAACTTGCCAACACGAGGCTAAGTGGGACCCTTTCTTTATAATCAACACCATACATATACATTGGACAAGAAATGAAGAGCCACCTAAGTTTTCAGAACTATTCCCCACAAAATGAGAAACAAAATGGTATTGCATTACTCCCTCCGTTTCACAATGTAAGACTTTCTAACATTGTCCATATACATATAGATGTTAATGAATCTAAACACATACATATATCTAGATTCATTAACATCTAAATGAATGTGGGCAATGCTAGAAAGTCTTACATTGTGAAACGGAGGAAGTAGTATTTATCTTCAGTGTTTGTTCCACGAAAGTAACAACACCCAAGATTGCATGGTATTTCGTTGTTTCATGATATAAATCAATTACTTAGTGTTAGTAACTAAACTTTATCGTGATTTTTATATACATATTTGATATTCTTCATAAAAAAAATCCATGTCAGAAGTTGCCTCATAAGTGGGTTTAATTTTGTCAAAGAAGAATTTTATGTTATACCACACACTTTCATAGTAGCTTCCAAAGACCGGTAACTATCATCAAATGTAATACAAGAAAAATCTCCTTCTGCTCCAAAAAAAACTATGCCCTTGCTTCTAGCGGTAAAACCTTCTCTTATCCCACTCACATTTATTCTCTTCTACAGTTCTAAGTTCTAACTATAAATTTTTGTTTGTTTGCAGTAACACTTATACATAGGTTTTTATAGTTAGGTTCAGAAAACTACCATAACCAAACCTCTCATCTCTCTCCATTAGTCCCCACCACCTGCATGAGATGTTGTCGAGCTATCTGGTATTCTGGTCGAGCCACTGCTTTGTGGGACCAAAGCACCAAAACCTTCAGCACTAACCTCCATCATGACACTGACAATGCACAATGCTCTTGTGAAACCATATGGCCAAAATCTTATGGTATAAGCACCGCTAGCCAAGAAAACCTAGATTTATCTCGAGCTACGTTCATTAAACTAACCGTTTTGTCTAATTTACTCTAGAGTCTAGACTCTAGACTAACACTTGTTTCTGCAAGCATTCCTAGATTATGTGTCTGAAGTCTGAACTATCAACACAGCCAAGTAAATGGTTACATTTGATCCTCTACAAGAGATATTCGTCAGTTGGCATTCATGATTATCGATAAATAGTGAATGCAGAACAGACTGAAACATAAACATAAATATAAGCATATAATGAAAACAGAATAAACTGCCGCATACCTTTAATGCACAGTGCTCGCAGAAATAGTGCTTGCATTTCGTGACCACTGGATCAACAAAAGGCTCCCTGCAAATGTAGCAGGCAAAGGGCAACGCTTCTTCATCATCATCGTCATCCTCCTCCCCTGCTTCGTAATCACTACCATCCCCACCCATAGCGATGCGGCGCTTGCGGGCCTTCTCCGCCTCCTCCCACTCCTTCTCTATCTGCCATCCAGACTTGTAGTCCCCTCTGTCATGCATGAACTTGCAGGAATCGCCATAGCCACAGTACCCTGTCTCCTTGTAGTCCTTGCAAATGTCCGGCTGGTAGTCGAACCGAGCGGAGAGCCGGATGTGCGCCGACGCGCGGAGCGGCCCGTGCGACCCGCCGGCCTTCTCCGACGACACCGTGTGCTCCCGGCGGAACCCGGCCTTGTAATCCGTGTAGCCGTGGATCCCCTTGTACACCTCCCCGGAGCCAGAGCCGGAGCTGGAGGCAGGAGCGGAGGGGTTCTTCTTCAGGGACTCCTCGGCCTGCTTGAGCTGCCGCTCGCGGATGGCGCGCGCGTCGCGGTCGAACTCCGTCTCCGTCTCGAGCGTGGCGGTGGCGCGGCTGTCGGTGGAGGCCTGGATCGTCCGCGACGACTCGTACTGGAACCGGCGGGGCTCCGACGAGCCGTCCGCGGAGGAGAAGAAGAGCTTGCTGGTGGACGACGGCGCCTTCTTGGCGCGCGCGGCGGCGATGGCGCCGGACCCGTCTTCGTCGTCGTCGTCGGAGCCCGCGGGCGCGGTCGGGCGCTTCCGGATGTTCTTCGGCGGCTTCCTCACGAAGCTGCAGACCGGCGCCGAGCCACCGGACCCGGCCTCCCCGCCGCCGCCGCCGTCGGCCATCGAGGTGCCCAAGTTCTAAGGGCTCCTCCTTCAAGGGGGCGAGTCGGGATGCCGCCTAAGCGCCGGCGAGGATGGGACGCGCGCGCAACGGGAAGCCGCTGCCGAGAACGGGCTCGCGGCGGGGAAGCAGCCGCCGGAGATGGGGCACGCCGGGGATGGCTGAAACCCTAGGTGGAGCGGGTCGAGGTGGGGAGAGGAGGCAGATCAGATTAGGTTTGCGAGAATTTTAGCCCATTTCGGGGTATTTGCACTTGTCTGATTTCAGTCCACCGACCTTAAGTTTTAAGCCCATTTAATAATGATGGTGGGCCCACATTGGCCGTAAGCCAGCTGAATTATACCAATGTTGGCCCAGAATTTAGCCTAGGAAAAAGTTCACTCGAGGTCCCTCTTGTGGTCGAGTTTCTAAATCATCCTTGAACCGTGAATTGGATACATCGCCTCACCCAACTTATAGAACCATTGTAAACTCAAGGGCTGTATTTAGTTCACGCCGAAATTGAAAGTTTGGTTGAAATTGGAACGATGTGACGGAAAAGTTAAAAGTTTATATGTGTAGGAAAGTTTTGATATGATGGAAAAGTTGAAAGTTTGAAGAAATATTTTGGAACTAAACACGGCAACAGTATTGTTTTCGGTTTGGATTAACTAGATCCATGCCATTGCAAATTTGCCTATTAAAAAAATATCATTACAATTCATCTATTCGTAGCGATGCCACTAGAATTTTATAAAATTAAAACTGTGTCACTGCCATCACTTTTTCCATCCATCAACTTCCCTTTCCGTCTTCTTCTTCCTTTCTCCCGTCTTCCTCTCTGCATCTCACTCTGCATCTTCCGCAATGCCTGCGCAAAGCCATCCCGTGCCGGCCGCATGTCCGTGCATGGTGAAGAGGATGGCTGGGGAGGACGAGTGGTCCACACCAAGGGCCGGGCATGGTGGCCGGAGATGACCACCGTCACGGTGGCACCATCGTCTGGATCGCGTCGTAAGTTGATGGATGATTGGGCAAGTTGATGGATGGTGGCACAGTGGCGGCGCTGGTCAAGTCGTGCATCACCATCGTCTGGATCGCTTCGGCGCTGCACGTGGCCGTCAACTCCGGCCAGTACCCCTACGGCGGCTTCTCGCCGAACCGGCCGATGGCTCACCATCGGCAGATGCCGGAGCGCGGCACGGAGGAGTACACGGAGCTGGAGCGGCGCCCGGACGCGGCGTTCATCCGCACCATCACCGGCCAGCTGCGCACGCTCCTCGGCATCTCGCTGATCGAGATACTGTCCAAGCACTCCGACGACGAGGTGTACCTCGGCCAGCGCGACACGCCGGAGTGGACGTTGGACACAGCGACGGAGGCGTTCCGGCGGTTCGGCGACCGTCTCGTCGGGATCGAGGCGCGCATCGCGGAGATGAACCGGGTTACCGGGACCCGCGCCACAGGAATCGCACGGACCCGACGAGGCTCCCCTACACGCTGCTGTCCCCCAAGGCCCCAACACCTCCGACGGCTACCACAAGCTACTTCCGCGGGCGCTCCTCAAGTCCGGCCACCACCTTGCCATCGGTCGATCTCCCTCAACGGCTCCCCTCACACCAAATCCTTGCACCACCGGATTTGCCTCGCCGAGGAGAACCCATTCCCCTAGTTTCCCCTCTCTTTTAGCCACCCCATCCCGCCACCACCATCACCTTCTATGCCGCCGGAGCCAAGTCCTTCCACCCGCCATTCCGGCCATCTCCCTAGCTCCCTGTACCGGCCGACACCTTTCTCGAGTGAGCCAAGCTCGGGAACACATTCGGCTGCTTGCGTCACCCCCTCCCAGCCACCGGAGCACCGGCGCCCCACTACTATCTTCCCTCTGCTCTACCTAGGAAGAAAGAAGGAAAAAAAGAGAAGAGGGGAGGTTGGAGGAAGATGAATCTGACGTGTGGGCCTCACGTGCAGATGGGGAAGAGATGAAAAATGTGACGGCGATGGCATGGTTCTAATTTTGTAAAATTTTGAGTGACACGCTTACGAATAGACGAATTGTAATGGAATTTTTCTGAATTGCCATATTTGCAATGGCATGGATCGAATTAACCCTTTCGGTTTTGGCTGACGTGGCTTCTTTTACTATGTCTTCGTCCCACGCGGCATTGACGTAAAGTTTATGTAGCAATTTGATAAAAAAAAGTGGGGAGCACGTGTCAGTTACATAAAAAATAATTAAATAATGGTGGGGCCCATGTGTCACCCCTCCCCTCACTATCTCCTTTGGACCAGCGTGCCTTCTCCCGCCTTCTCACCTCGATCTTCCTCTCCAAATGCAGGCAGTAGGAGGCGAGCAGAGGGAGAGGAGCTAGGCGAGCAACAGCAGCTAGCGGGAGAGAGCGACAAACTGGAAAGAGCTGCCGGGACGCGGGCAAAGTGATGGCCTCGGCTTCGTTGCGGGGGGCCACTCCTCTCCTTCCACGAGGGGCAGCACGTGAAGACGATCTTGCCGTGAAGGAACAAGCTCACCGAGGAAGGACTAGCTCGACAGTGCCGACTGAGGGTGGCGGCCAATAGGGAGAGAGATAGGGTGGCGGCCTCCTTCCCCTTCTCCCCTCTCCTCCCTAGATGCGGCAGGCTGTGGCTGTTGTCGTTGATCTTGGCAACGAAGCCGGCGGCATGGCGCTGGGCGGGTGATGGCATCGACGCCACTAGACCACACCACCTCTCCACCATCGCATAGCCTCCCGAGCTCAGTGGGATCATGGTCATTTCTGGAGCAGGCAGCGAGACGGCTTGGAGGTTGCCCAACCTTGGAGCTTCCGTCTTGCTTCTCTTTCACGCTTGGAGGCAGCGACGAGCGTGGTGGAGGTGTTGGTGATAGCTGATTTGGACTTGGAGGAGCTCATGGCCTCCCATTGATGCAAAACACAGTGCCCTGGAAGTTATGCTTAACTTCAGTGCAGGTTCAAATAATTGGGTTCAAGGGCGTGTCAATTGGTTTAATCCTGCAACCAATAAGATAAAACAATAGCATAAATTAGTAAAAGGTAGCCGATCAGCCGATAGGTGTTAACAACAAAATTTGGCAAGATATACTCGGATTTGGAGATAAACAACGAGGCGAATTTGATGAAAATTGGATCTTACCAAAATAGATTGCGCATTGGCTAGAGGCTGTATCAACTGGAAACATAGGCGAACCGGGATTGAGCCGATGAGGCATAACCCGAGCCGATACGGACACAGTTGGGCTTGCAACATGCCTAGATTGGATTACAAAGTATTGCCGTTCAAAGAAAGAGTCTGTTTTAGGCAATTGTATATATTAATTAGGTATTCCATGTCGGTTTCTTAGAGATTTGGCAAGAGTCCGACATATGGACTTGTTTGTATCTTTTTGTAACTTAGGAAAGTTTGAGTCGTGTCCATAATGGACATAGTTTGTACTTTGGGTATAAATATACACCTAGGATCATGTAAAAACAGGAGGAATCAATACAATACTTTTGGTGCTTCGCCACCTTTTCTTTTAGTTTTTTTCGACGAGTTCTTGCGTCGAGTTAGGGTATCGGCTTCGATCTTCTAACACGAGGTAACTTGTCTCGATGGTTTGCATTATCGTGGCTATTATGTTGCTTTAGATGTATTAATCTCTTTATTGCAAGTTATCATTATCATATATCTTAATTATATCGGCTGCAATTTGCTTTAGGGCTTATGCTAGCATCGGCTAAATTATCTTGCCAGATTAGATTAGCTAAGATATCTACCATCCTGAAAATTGATCAATTACTTGATTGTTTAGACTTTAGGATTCTTTACATAATTTGAGTTGCATCAACCCTAGTCCTGTCTAGAACTCTAAAAACTAACCTAGAATTGATTAAGAATAAGGATAGTAACGGAGTTTCAGCTGATCTTGCCTGATAAAGTTGTTTCATCTTAAGTTTTAACTGAAGAAAGAAGATGGTGCACTATAACTAATGACTTTATCCTAAACAAGGAAACTACTGATACAACTCCGACTCAGACATGACTCTGATCGGCTGGTGTGTAGGAAAAGAAACTAACTGAGTCCAATTCTAACATGACTTCATTATCTCAGAACTCTATCTACAGAAATAGAAACCAAAAACCTGGAATAATTAACTATTTGCCACTCTTACGAGTGGTGCTAAATTATTTTCCTCTGGATCCGCATATCATAGACACATGAGGGCCCACATGTCATAGACATCGAGTAGCAAATAATTAATTGGCACATCTTAAAAGTGGCAAGAAGTTAAATGTCCCAAAAAACCATCCTTATCATGAAAGTAAATTACAAAAACCCGGATAAGCTTGACAAATTCCATCATTGACTCTTGACTAAGGAAAGTTGCAAAATCTTACTGTTAACAAATAGTCAGTACTCCATCATGGGAACTCGAAATGACGAGCCAATTGTTGGAGGTGAAAGTAGACTTCATTATTTTTGCAACCATGTATAGTATGCGTGGGGAAACTTGACTGCCTGGGTCACACATCTCTTGGGATTTGAAGCATCTACGCCTAACCAATCAGCTCATAAGTGTAATCCATTTCAGTTTGAGCGACCCATCCCATCCTTGACGTAGTAATTCGTAGTTGTAGCATTGACCATGTCCTAATGTTTAAAACTAAAAAAAAATAATAAATGTACACCATTTAGATAGTACAAAGTTCTCATCAATATTAAAGTTAAATTTACCAATAAACGAGTTCACCTTTTTGCCGTATATTTGTAAAACGAAGTTGCGTAAGCTCTTCAATTAATGATTTATGTTGTGATGATGCTTGGTTACTTGACACCTTATACTTTTTTTCGAACATGGCTACGTGCTTGAAACTATAGTCATACACACCAAGTAGCAACTTTGCCTCATGAACATAACAAGAATTTGTGTGAAGCATAACTTTAACCTCTCCAAATTCCATCACAGTTGGTTGCAACTGAAGAAAGAAGATTATGCGCTACCTGTCGTGGCTTTTTAGGCTTATAACTTCATATGAGACCTTAGCCTAAGCGGGGCCCATGTGGAGTGAGCCCCAACTAGGTGGAGCATGACCCTAGACAACACTAGATCCCCCTCCTACCTCCTTATTATGTGTTTCTTTGGAGAGAAAGTGGGATGTGTTGGACTTATCCCTGATTTTAGATGGGTTGGTCCATCTATCCGTTTGGTATGAGAGGTAGAATGGTCCCACTTTTTGAAGATGTCCCACATGTTAGCGAGAGAGAAAATTGGGTGTTGTTTTGGTCCGCTTGTTTTTTTAGGGACAAGGGCAATTCGGAACTTACGAAAATATTTTGTGTTAGGAACCTTCATATATCCCACCTAACCCCAAACAAACACCTTAAAAAAATGGGTTCGACCTAACCCAACTCATCCCAAAACCAAATGCATGCTTAAATAGCATCTTTCCACCTTCGTAAATAGCTAGATTCCCCTGCAGTATTTCTTAGGTTTTATTTCCAGTCAAAAAAAATATTTCTTAGGTTTTATTTAGATTAAGGTTTAGCCGTTGTTACTTTTTCAGATAAACTGTGATTAGTTAGTTTGCCGTTTTTTATTAGGGAACCACAACTTATCATGTATATATGATTTTATTTGCAATATCAAATTGTTTTATCTTATTGTTACTTGTTTCTCTGATTTGCTTGTAGGATTAAGGTTGATTTGTATCGACAAGATCAACAACCTATGGTGAGATGTATCAATTAGGGCGCAATACAACAAAAATATCTTGTATGGTTATAGTCGGGTCGTCAACGTCTCTCAAGCCGTCTTGTCAACTCGCTGAAAGATTAGGCCACCCCTCCTCTCATAGAGTGGTTTCAAAGCTGTGAGCTTGTCACAACATTGGCTTTAAGTTTCACCCGCAAATTATTTTGTAGATGCAAATAATAAATGTTACGACTTACAATTAGTTAATTGTAGGCGAAAAGACACGAGTGTATTAACCGTTACTATCACTATAAACAAGATTGGTGGTGGTCAACTACAATCCCTGTTATTGCTGGCAGATCTATCTATACAGGGAGTGGATTCTAATCATTCGAGAGAGGATGTTCTCTTGTGTACTTTTTTCTTTCCAATTCGATATAAATAGTTATGAAATATTCTGAAGAAAATTAACAATGTAGAGTATATAATGATATCTATCGATCCTCAAAAAATCAGGTTTAAATTCGACCTACACATCGAGAAAAAAAAGAAGATTTCATACGAGAACAATACACTACTATTCATACGCTAAATTTATCTTTTTTATTTCTCGGCGCGTGAGTTGAGTTTTGACCTAAGATTTTATAAAGTTGTATAGATATGTTGTATGAGTGTTCTTATTTTTTTTAGAATTTTTTGTAACCGTTTGAATGATTTTTAAGAAAACGAGCAAACATCCTTTAAGGAGATAAAAATAGTTTCCTATATACCGGTAGGATTAGGCGCCAACAAAGGCATTTGATGCAGAGATGCCACTCTGCACAGCTCACCGGACAAAAAACATCCAACACATGTCAGCAAACATGAGAATGTTTTAAAGGTAGCAATGACAGAAAAAAGAACAAAAAAGATGCATGTGTGGCTCCCATTATCTTCAAATTGCAAGAAGAATCATCCACTCCCGAGTCATCTCCAACACGGAAAAATATAATCAGAACAAAGAAATTTGCTTCTGCAATCAGCTCGACAAATAATTGCAATCGTACAACATGTTGATAGGCTTTTGGACCCTAATCTAAAGCAGAACAATTGGCAAGTATTAGAAGGCCAATAATTTCAGAGAATAAAACAGAAAAGGAGTTTCGAAGCAATTCAGCAAGAAAGTGGTAGGGCATTAAGCAAGCCCTTCACTTTATACTCAAACATGATTAATTGGTAATTTGGTTGCAAGCAACGGCAGGTTTTTTGTTAGAGCAGATTTTCTTCAAGAATTGGGGGGAAAAATAGACCATAATATTTAATTAGCTAGAAAAGAAACAGTCACAGCTGATTTTGGCAAAGCATGAAATACTTTTTTATTTCGCCGGGGAAGGCCGAAGGGGGCCATCCGAGTAAATTAAGAAGGAATAAAGTTATAAGAAAAAGTCGACAGAAGCTGTTGAGGGCGGAAGTGCACCAAAGTGCACAACCAAGAACCACGTGCTAACCACGCAAGAACAAACCATTGAGAGAGGAACCTAGAACCAAAACGACCCCCGCTATGCGTGGCCGATCGTCACCGGGCCTATGACAACACTACAAAAGACGAGACTCTGAAAACGATGCCCCAAAGGAGGTCACGACATCAAGGATGCTGCCATCGCCATCGCCCATCTAAAAGATGTGGTTTTCACCCAGAGAAACTCCCCAAGGAGGAGAGGAATCCTCAACAGCGCCCCAAGGGGGGTTGCGACGCCAAAGGCGTTGCCGTTGCCGGCCCGATGAACCACCATGCGAGGCTTTCGCCTGGAGCCCCTACAACCTTGCTTTGAAGCTTGTTGCCCATTAGCTCAGAAACCACCGCACCGGCAATGGCAGCACGAGGTCTCCACCCCACCGCACTGGCACCCCTCCGCCGACCGACTTTCACACATGCTGCTACACCCTGCCGCCACCCCTGGAAGCTGGCCCAGGCCTCTTCTGTCCCGCCACCTGCCAGCCCCCTCACCAATTTTGGCCAAAGGAGAACCCGCGACTGGACGACGTCGTGCCGATGGCCTGAGCTATCCCCGTTAACCGGCTGCCGCCTCAATCTAACTTAGAAACTCCCCGCAAAGAAGGGGAGGAGCTCCAGGAAGGGTGAGGGTGCCCATCAGCAATGAGGAAAACAACCCACCGCCGCCAGCTCCTTTTGCACTGCCACCACTCCCTTGCACCTTTGCACTGCCACCACATCGCCAGTGGCGTCAGCGCCGGCGCCACCACCACAGCAGCCGCCGCCTCGGGTCGCCACGCCACCGCAACAGCCTTGCCGCCGAGCCCTCCTCAGCCACACCTCCACCGGGGAGGCCGCTCCACTGCCGGGGAGTCCTTGGCTGCGCCTCCACCACACCATCCCCAGGCCGCCACGCCGTCGCCATCGTGCCGTCGCGCTGCCGCCATGCCTGGGTTGTTGTTGCCGCATTGGCCAGATCTGGGCGCTAGATCCAACCTCAGAGGCACTGGATCCGCCACCTTCCCACGCCGCCCCGCCATCTCCGCCTCCGACGCTGAGGTCGACGTCATCGGCTTGGCCCCATCCTCCTCGCACCGAGGTGGGTCTCCAAGCTTGATTGGCCTCGCCGCTGGCGAGCTTCGGCGGCGGCGAGGTGAAGGAGAGGGCGGGGTTGCAGCGGCGCGGGCGGCTAGGGTTTTGCCCCCCGAGCCACCCGTGCGAGAGCGACACGGGAGGAAGGGGTCTCTTCGAGCACTAGTCCTTTTCTTGAATATCTCACCAAAGCATTAAATACTGCATCTCTACCCTTGCTTCCACACGACAGAGCATTAAATAATTTATTTTACTAATGTAAAAGTGTAGTCGTCCTCCTTCTCTCCCCTCCTCCCATGTGCGCAACGCGTCTGTACGCTTTGCGTGAGTAACCATCATATCCATTGTCTTATCGGCAATCACCCTTTTAGCCCATCCTATTACTACTTAATAATAAAATTAAACCGAGATATCAAAACATGGTTCTACAAACAAGAAAATAACCTAGTTGTATATATCCACTTATTGATACAGAGGATGGGTTTCTATTCATTATTCGAAAAAAGCAAGGAAATAACCAATGGTTCAGAATAAGCATAAGAAAAACTTTCCACCAGATGAAGAGATGCCCAATGCAATCATAATATTCTTATCATCCTGAGCCAATCAAATATATGCCGCAATATTGCATGGAAAACATTTATTTTTTAATATTCCATGATTGTGTCATACTTTGCATCGATTCAACTAGTACTGTTTTTATTGCACCTCTAGCGGGTGAAAAACTGTTCTGTGAGAAATGCACAGGTAAACAAAGTATACTATGGAACGAATACTCCTGCTTTTGTTAGCACGGTAAAAACTCCTAGATAGTACTAAAAGAAAGTGCCCTTCCCATACACTCACCCTAATACTCACCCTAATCAACTAATCACAGGCAGGTGATAAACAACAGCCTTGTTGGTGATTCCAATTGTGGATCATTAATATCGAATAAGGTTCCGAAGATATCTTGACTACAATTAATTACAAACAGAAAAGAAGAACCCACACGAGTAATTAATCTGCATATGACAAATACAATCATGCGGTATGTATACCAGTAGGTCGACGAACATAACGCAGCGACATCTAGGATTCAGGCCAAAAAAATTACGTAGTAAAGATTTGTTGTTTACAGATCAGTTTGAAACATCGATTTCTCCGTTGAGGATCAAAACTATCGAGCATGTTCAGCATACAAACAGAGAGAGCAAACAGCTAGATCAGAGCAATTGAAAATGGGCTACTTTAATGTTTCAAAAGCGTGGAACAGCCTAAGGAGAAAGCACAAGATTGCACAGCGAACAAAGAAAGAAAATCTAAAACATATATATGCGTTCCCGTTGAACTGAATAACACTAATCAGGTAGCAATGAATCAGTCAGAATACTAAATACTGTTAATATATTAGTTCCAGTGCATACAGGCTACAGCCCTAAGTAATGAAAACTGTGTAACAACAGAGACTGATCAGACATGAACCAGAGTAGAACAAAACTAGATGAACCCCATCGCGTAAAGCGAGCAATTCGATTCAATATTTGATTATTGGGCAGAATAATTGCCCCCCGAATCTCTTCCATATATACAGGTCTCTCTCAGGCAGACGACCTCACACATCACACCACCGTGATTATAATATCACACCACACATCACAATAGTAGCAAGTAACAAGAAGCAATTCTTGGATTGTTTCTTTGTACCATTGGACTGATGAAGCAGCAGCAGCAGTGGGTAGATGAGATCAGATCTTGTCGATGTCCTCGTCCTCGAACTGGATGTAGTCGTCGTGGGCGGCGGCGTCGTCCTCGTCGACGACGCCCTCGTTGAGGCGGACGTGGTCGGGGATCTCGCCGTAGGCCTTGAGGAGGCGGGCCTCGTCGTTCATGTACTTGAGGATGACGTCGGCCTTGTCGTCCTGGTAGTCGCGGAGGCCGACGAGGACGATGTCCCCCGCCGCGATCCACACCTTCTTGTGCATCTTCCCGCGGATGTGGCACAGCCGCTTCGTCCCGTCGATGCACTGCGCCTCGCACCGCCCGTTGCCCAGCATCCGCGCCACCTGCGCGTACTCCTGCCCGTCCTCCTTGAACACCAGCTCCCGCTTCTCGTCGTCCGCCTCGTTCTTCCCCCGCTTCCGGTTCTTCCCTCCCTTCCCCTTGTTCTTCGGCATCCTCGACCTCGATCGATCAACAAACACAAGAGATCGATTCGATTCGCTCTCTGCCTCTCTCTCGCTGCTTTTGTTCGTGGGTGGGGAAAGCTGTGGTGGTTTTGGTTTCGTTTATAGAGAAGAAGAGGCCGGGTGGCGGGGGCGGGGTGGGATCTGAGCCGTTGATCTAGGGAGGTCGGAGAGAGTGGACGGTTGGGATTTAGTCTTGGCGGGGTGAGGAGGTCTTTTTGTTTTGCTTGGGCGGACGCGGAACGGAAACGTGGTGGCCACTCTACTGGGGGATAACTGGATAAGCTGGTAAACGCGTCGTTGACTAACGACGAAATTGATCCTAATCTCCTCCGCTTTCGTACCGAGCAAGTTTTAGGCAGCGTTCGGCAGCAGAAAATACAAAAAGAAGAACCCCTCTTTCGCGCGCATATGCTTTCCGAAAAAAAACCACGTTAGGTTTTTAGAAAAAAAACTTCTATAGAAAAGTTGATTTAAAAATTATATTAATCTATCTATTAAATTAAAAATAATTAATATTCAATTAAATATATGCTAGTAATAGCTAATTTTGTTTTATGCATCTTATTAATTCTCTCTCCCCTTTCTCTCAAAACACTCTTATTATACAGTTGTAAACGTACTACTACCATAAGTACAATTTTATAGGAGTATCTGTTTGCACAAATATATTAAGATTTCGAATTGTGTATTACATACTTCAAATTTTACCTGCATTTTAAATTCTGAAAATGGGAAACCAACTTATTGTTCACAACTTCAGCATATGGGCCAAATCCTGGCCTTTGCGCGGATATGGGCTGTTCACTCTGGCTCATATCCCTCGGGGAAAGGACCCAGGTTTGGCCCAGATCAATCAAGGCCAAACTTTGTTTTTCTTTTTTTTTGAGGGCAAAATCCTTCAATCTGTGTTTCTTTACTCGAGGCCTGTTCACTTTAATGTCATTTTCAACCATACTAATTTTTAGTAAAGTTACTAAAAAAATATCTACGTTTAGTTTGTTGTTAAATTTGGTCAATACATATGAAATCCTACCAAAATTATTTTTACAATATTGTTATCTTGCCAAAATTTTAGCATTGCGAAAGGTAAAATCTAATTGGAGAGGCCTCTCCAATTAGTTTTAACCAGAGATACCCCACGTGCTAGTACTTTAGGAGTTTTGGTTGCTATTAATCCATTGAACAAGTAGGGGAAATATTCCTATCATCTATGCTTCAAATAAAATTTTCTCTTAAATTACTCATCCGATTTATAATCCGATTACACCGTTGTGTTCATAATAATTAAATCTTTACAACAAGATCTCACATGATTATATTTTGATGAAAAATCACAAATTACTTTTATGATATGTCTAAATTACTTTTAGGTTTTACTAAGTTACTTCTTAGACATATAAAAGTAAATTCAGTAAAGCCTAAAAGTAATTTACATATATTATAGAAGTAACTTATAACAAAACGAAAACGAAAGTAACTTTAATTAATGCCTTTTTTCATTGAAAAAATTATCATGTATATCTAAAAGTTATTTTTAGATTTGATTAAAATACTTCCTATACATTATAATGCTCTGAGGTGATTACTTTTTTTATTATTATTAGTTAATTCCATAATTTGTGCTGATTAATTTAATTTGTGCTGATAATGTTTTTATCTCTACAATAGATTTATGACATGCTAAAGTTACCTTCATTTTGTTCTAAGTTACTTCTATAATATATGTAAATTACTTTTAGGTTTTACTGAATTTACTTTTATATATCTAAGAAGTAACTTAGTGAAATCTAAAAGTAATTTAGACATATCATAAAAGTAATTTGTGATTTTTCATCAAAATATAATCATGTGAGATCTTGTTGTAAAGATTTAATTGTTACGAACACAACGGTGTAATCGGATCGTAGATCGGATGAGTAGTTTAAGAGAAAATTGTATTTGAAATATAGGTGGATGGTGCCTCTTATAGATAGAGTGGTAGCTGGTTTAGACAAACCAGCTACCACTAGCCGTGTAGTTACGTCCATTGCGAAAACTTGTTAAAGGTTTATTTTAGCTACAATCTAAACATGCCCTTAATTTGCGATTACATGTAACTACGGAATGAACACTTTCGAGTAGTCGGATAAGGCGTACCCGCGGGATCCGTTCCAGGTGGGGAGAGTGAGGGTGCAGCTCAAGAAGAATGATGGTCCACCTGTCAACCCCGAGATTACAACAAGTGAACATCAGTCATCTCTTTTGTTCTTCTCCTTTTTTTCCCCTTTTGTTACATTAAAGAAATGTGGTATGATCTGTTCTTGTAAGTACATTATTACGATAAAATGTCGTGAGAGCTGGTTGTTACTTGTTAGTATGCATTAATCATGATAATTGTGCATAAAAAATACAAATGATAATTCAACTTTTTTGTTGTATGTACATCAGATTATCTGCTACTCCCTCAGTTTCACAATATAAGTCATTTTAGTATTTCCCATATTTATATTGATGTCATTTTAGTATTAAATGTGGAAAATATTAGAATGATTTACATCGTGAAACGGAGAAAGTACATCAATATGATTTTGTATATTCCCTGACTGCTATGGGCACTAATAGTCCAGACTAGGCTCAGACACATTAGGTCCACCATGCTATTCTACACTTGCATTTAATTTTGTACAATGTAGGTTTTCCTCATGTTACGTGCTGTTGTCTATAGTCGTATATAATATCACAATCAGATATTATGAGCACCTTATCTTTTATGTGCTGACTATAGTTACCAAAAATGTGGAACAACGCATGTTCATTGTCATGGGAAACCTTTGAAAAGTAGAGTTCCGTGTTCCTTGATCCATTGACCTGGGAATTTTTGTGACTATGGCCATGTTTAGCTCCCAAAACAAAATCTTTTCACCCATCACATCGAATGTTTGAACACATGTATAGAGTATTAAATATGGATAAGAAAATACCAATTACACAGTTTGCGTGTAAATTGCGAGACGAATCTTTTAAGCTTAATTGCGCCATGATTTAACAATATGGTGCTACAGTAAATATTTGCTAATGACGGATTAATTAGGCTTAATAAATTCGTCTCGTAGTTTCCTGACGGAATCTGTAATTTATTTTGTTATTAGACAACATTTAATACTTCAAATGTGTGTCCGTATATTCGATGTGACACCACAAAACAAAAATTTTTACCATCTAAACTGGGCCTATGGTACTGCCCTGATGACATTGAATCATCTCGTCCTTAAAACTTCAGCCTGTGGTGACCACCTCTGCTGCCTCCGATGCGCCTCTATAACTTTCAATGGCAAGCAATTTTACGGTCCGTGAGTAGGTACCATGAGGTACTACTTTTTCTACTGTAAATTTGGTAGCTCTTGATACCTACGTACTAGAAGGTACCAAATTTTACACTAAATTTTTGGTAGATGGTACTTCCCCAAATTTGCTCTTCTATAGCTCTGCATTTCTTAACCCCCTGCTTTGCTTTCATTTAATTCTTCTGGCCAGAGTCGCATGCCCTGTATTTCTCTTGTAAATTATCTCTGGATTTTAAAAATATGTGGGTTTTTTACCAGCCTCTTTACTCTACTTAGAGTTTTGTCAATTTTAGGAGGATTGTGCAAAACCTTAAGTCCACTTTATGCGCTACACACAATAAATTCTTTGTTAAGGTGGAATCATGTTGATTACAATTGATGTAGATCATTAACATGGCTTGCGTTGCAAAGTAGCTAGGATGAATGAAGGTGACATGATGTTTTTTCTTTTTCTGAAACCTTCGTAGTATTCATCATTTGGAAGCGTCAGTATTTGTTTTGCAATTTTTATGCTACCCTGTTGCAGGAGTGACTGTAAAGACGTTGACTCTTGCTTCTGTTTTAACTTTGCTTAGCCTGCATCAGTGCATCTCTTACACTTGATTATGCAAAAACCTTATTCATATTGCCCATCATGAACATCAAACAGTTCATCCACAGGACTGTTGTGTGCTCCTTGTTGGTTTTTTCCCCCTCGAAATATGGTTCTTTTTCAGAGATACTGATCTCACCTTCTACAATCCTCATTACAGAGAAAATGTTGATGCTCCATGTCGCCGAGCTGGTTCCTAAGCACCTTGGAAGGACTAGGAAGCAGGAGCCTGCTACCAGTTCTTCAGCTGCTGGCACTGTCAAGTCCACAAAGGGCAGGAGGAAGAAAAGATTGCATCATCAAATTTTGGTAGGTTGTGTCCGCTAAAATGAAGTTCTTTCCAGGGGTTACAAACTGTGATCGCGGGTTGTCATATTTTGAGTCATATGAACTAGAGGTTGTAGCTACAACACTTAGTCCGTAGATTCTGTAGTCAGTTCTGAATTTCCACATGTCAGTGGGACAAAAAGTCCTTGCCAAAAGCAAGGCGTTTTACTGTTTTAAATAGCATGTAAAAGACTTTTATAGCTCTCATTTCTCTTAACCAGTAAGGAAACCCGCGCAGATGCGCGGGTAATTTATTTGTTGTTTATAAAAAAAGAATATAAATAATTGTGAACCATAGATTACATTATAATCGTAAAAGAAAGAAATATTTATACCATGAAATAAACCATAAACTTTTGATATACTAAATGATAATGTCTATTATATTCAAATATAGGTTTTGTTTTTTTCTTTTACTATACATCTAAGTCGCCTACGCATGTTCATGGGTAATAATACGAAGGAATAATCCACATTGTCAAAATTATTTGTGCTAATTTTGTTAACACTTTTTATATGAGAATAGCATAATTACATAAGGATATAATATGTTTCCATGTGAATAGTAGTATATGCATTCATAGGATGGTGTGCACATATTTATACGAGCGTTTACGATTGCCTTTTACATGGTTAGTAAAAAATACTTTCAAAAAGTTTGGTGGGATGGCATGAAGCGGCGCCACAGTGGCACGACTTCTTCGAGAAGATCGCCATGAGTGTCATTACATAAACTTTACTTTAGTGCCTCAAAGAAAGAAACAAAAAACTATCAGATGGAGCAGATTGTATATGAACTCTTCTTTTTTATTCTTTTTGACATATCTTGTGTATATATGTACATAC